ATAGTGGTTGTTTTAGACATAATGGCATTACATAGTTCACAGACTTCAGTGTAAGGCAAACTTGTATATTACTAGGAGACCAAGAAACCAGAGTGACTTGCTTTGTTGTAATACTGGCTTTGTGTGATGGTATGAAATTGAACCCAGTATGTCTCAGGGATGCCTATCCTCCCTGTTCTTGTCGTAGACATCTGTTCTACAGGTGTTCTGCTTTGTTCAGCTTCTGGCAGTTGAGAGCTTCCATATAGTATACCTCCCTCCAGCTCCCTCCCTCCTGTTCATTTCTCTCCCTCTTTACACTTGGTCCAAAGAAGCCAGTGCTCCAGGCTAAGCATTACAGCATCTTTAGTCATTTAGAGCTCTTAGAATCTCCTTTTACTTCTCTTTCCTCATACCTCACAAGGCCTTAAGTAGTCTGTCATCTTCAGTTTACCTCTCTCTCCCTCCCCCTCCCTCCCTTCTTCCTGTCTTCTTTGTCATCAAAATATTTAATAAGAGCTAGATACAAATTCTAGCTCCTCAGGAGGCTGAGGCAGAAGCATCACAAGTTTGGGAATAGTTTGGGCAATATAGAGTGATCTGTTGTCTCAAAATAAAGTAAAAATGACTAGGAGTGTTGCTCAGTGGTAGAGCACTTGCCGTCTAAAGGCCCTAGGTTTGTGAATTTGTAGAATCACCATTTTTTTTTTTCTTTTTTTGGGTCCAGTCGTGGGGCCTGAACTCTGGGCCTGGGCGCTGTCCCTCAGCTCTTCAGCTCAAGGCTAGCGCTCTACCACTTGAGCCACAGCGCCACTTCTGGCTTTTTTCTTTTTGCTTATGTGTTGCTAAGGAATCGAAACCAGGGCTTCAGGCATGCAAGGCAAGTGCTTTACCACTGAGCCCTTAATCACCATTTTTTAACTTTTTTTCCTTTTCTTGTCCTGATACTTGAACTCACAGCTGGGTACTATCCCTAAGCTTTTTGGCTCAAGACTACTGCTCTAGCACTTTGAGCCGTAGCACTGTTTCCAGCTTTTTGATAATTAATGGGAGATGAGAGTCTCACAGACTTTCTGCCCAGGCTGAAACCGTGATTCTCAGCTGTCAGCCTCCTGAATAGCTAGGATTACAGGCATGAGCCATTAATGTCTGGCTGTAACAATTTTTTAAAAATTGACCTTTCTTCCAACTAGGTGGTAAACTGTTTACATAGTGCTTTAATAGTAGTTTAATAGTTTAAATGCTTTTAATGTCTTACAAGATGTTAACTAGTGTGAATTAAAAGAATACATAGCACAATAAAAGTATAATAAAAGCATAATTATGACGAAAGTGTAAGAAAGGATGCAGTTCACCCCTTCCTCAGGACCTTGCTTCCACAGTTCTCATTCAACAGAGGAAGTCTTAAGAACAACAGAGAAAAAACTGTATTATGAAGCAGAACTGCCATGGCACTGGTGGCTCATGCCTGTAATCTTAGCTATTCAAGAGACTGAGATCTGAGGATTGCAGTTCAAAGCCAATCCAGATAGGAAAGTCTATGATATGCCTATCTCCAATTAAGCACCAAAAAAATCTGGAAGTGGAGCTGTGAGTTAAGTGTGAGGAGAGTGCTAACTTTGAGCACAGAAATTCACAGATAGCATCCAGGCTAGGTCTTGAATTCAAGCCCCAGGACTAAACCAAACACACACACACACACACCTCACACCCCACACCCTACCCCACCCCACCCCACCCCACCCCACACGACACCACACCACACGGAGAACATGAGACCGTAGATCAAGAAGAGAAAATCTTCATTACCATCCTTAGGGAGCTGGTGGTGAAGACAGAGTGGTGGCCCCTACAGACATGCACATTCTAAGCCCCAGAACCTGTGCATGTGGGGAGTTTGCAAGATGTGATGCTGAATTAGGGAAGGCATGACCTTGATTTTAGTCTACTGAGACCCTTTCGGACCTGTGCTCTCCAGATGGGAACATAGTACACTTCACGTATGTGATGATTTGTTTTAGCTGCTGAAAGGAATGTGTACAGTCAGTAGGCCTTCAAGAGGCAAAAGTCATTCTTTTTTTCTTTTTTGGGGGAGTCCGGTCGTGGGGCCTGAACTCTGGGCCTGGGCACTGTCCCTCAGCTCTTCAGCTCAAGGCTAGCACTCTACCACTTGAGCCACAGTGCCACTTCCGGCCTTTTTTCTTTTTGCTTATGTGGTGCTGAGGAATTGAACCCAGGGCCTCATGCATGCAAGGCAAGCGCTCTACCACTGAGCCACCTTCCCAGCCCAGGCAAAAGTAATTCTGTCTTGGAGAAAGTTCAGTTTGATTTCTGTGCCAGGTTCTTAGGATCAGCATCTGGAGCTCTGGTCTTGTTTTGTTGTTGCTAGATAACTTGATAGGCTCTCAGCAGAGCAGATCTGGTTAGAGAAAGACAGGTAGGGACACTTGAATTTCTTACCCACCAATAGCGTCTAGAGCAGGAGCACATGGAAACAAAGCTGCTGCTTGTGTAGAAGGCAGTGGGATGGGTGTGCTTGGTCTGCGGAGGAAGTAATGGGGTGAGTGGTGTTAGCAATAAGGTGGCTTCCGGTAGGTCTTCCACCTTGAAAATAAAACGTATGAAGATTGCTTAAAATACCACGTATTCCTTTTCACCCTGTTCTCTCCCTTCCTTCCTCACAGAACAGTTAATGTTCATTTGCATATATTCATTATCGTATGTTCCTTCTGCTGAAATTCTGTCAGTAGTGTAATACATGCTTTGGCCCCATAGACATTCAGAATAGAATGAACATGAAGGAAAGGTCTCATGACTTACATCACAACAGTGGCAAAGGTCCATTTTGCTTTTCAGTATAGTACATAAAAGCTAAGTGAGCAAACTGAACCAAGTAAATCATTTAGACACAAACTTATGGCCTTACCTCACTAATAAGTAATCAAGAGTGGAACTGTGACTCAAAGTGGTAGGGTGCTATCCTTGAGCAAGAGAATGCAGGAACAGTGCCCAGGCCCTGACTTCAAGCCCACAACCAACCAAAAAAAAACTTACTAAGAGAATAAATATTAACTTCCTAGTGCTCTAGTTTTTTGTTTTGTTTGCCAGATTGATAACCATTTAATGACTGATTTCATTTATTATTAGTATGAGGTGAATGACAGCTTATAACCTTAAGGGTTAAGAACAATTAGTGTGCTTTTGTTGGTTACCAGTTTGTTCTTGACAAAATGTTTTGATTTTGCTGGTTTTGACCCAGCATGTCTGTTTCTGTACAGTGCTTGTACACATGAATGACAACAGCTATAAAGGTGTTTGTAGCCATTTTGTTTTCCATTCCCACTTTTCTGTCTCGTCTAAAAAAAGGGGAAATTTTTTATCTGCCAGTAATAAGTATATACATTCAATGTTTTTGATTAAAATGTGATGTGAACATTGACTTTAATTTTCTACCTTAAAAAGAATTATTTTTTGGTAGTGGGGGCAGGTGCTGAACTTAACCTTACAGCCTTACACTCTTACAGGGCTTGCTAGCTAACAGCTGGTGGTCTACCAATTGAGCCTCACTGTTATTTGGAGATGAGTCTTTTGTGGCCTTTTCTGCTTTGGGCAGACTTCTAATTCACAGTTCTCCTGATACCTCCTGGATAGGTAGGTTTGCAGGAATAAGCCACCATTAGTCAGCTAAAAAGAATTCTATAAAATATCTTCTGAAGAATTTAATTGGAAATTTCCATATTTCTAAAGTAGAGAAATAGAGGTTTCAGAGTAGCCAAGTATTGTTCTGTATTGCCCAACTAGGTTGTCATAGCCTGCAGAGCTAGAATGATGAGTTGTAAGCAGTATATTTTATTTTTTTTTTGCCAGTCCTGCGGCTTAACTCAGGGCCTGGGCACTGTCCCTGAGCTTCTTTTGCTCTAGGCTAGCACTCTACCACTTGAGCCACAGAGCCACTTCCATCTTTTGTCTGTTTATGTGGTACTGAAGAATTGAACCCTAGGCTTCATGCATGTTAGGCAAGCATTCCACACTAAGCCATATTCCCAGCCCCTCAAGCAGCATATTTTAAACACATGTCCAATTAGTACTCTACTACATTCTGTCAGATTTGATTATTTTTCTCCATTCCCTTTTTCCATTTCCTCATTTTCCTTTCTTTCCCCTCCCCTTCCCCTTCCATTCCCACAGAGTACGTACTAGGCTCCGTGTTCTGTCACCAGCAGTGCAAAAATTTTTTAAAAATGAAAATGAGTCAAAGAACGATCCTTAGTCACTTGAAAGACTTGAGTGTGGGGGTTGTGCTTCACCTGCCTTCCCACATTGAAGGCAGCGGGCCAGTTCCACATGAGTCCTCTACACTTGGCCCATTTGGAAACTGCCTCATCAAGGCAGGTACAGGATAGGAGTCAGTGCTGAGGCTAACCTTTCCGCAGCCCAGGAGGAATTCCATTTTATCTGACGATCTATTCAAAAGTAACTATGTCTTCTGGCCTTACAGGACACATGTGTGAGGAGCAGAAGGTTGTAGGACATTTTAGATTGCTGTAGATTGATTAGATTCAGATAATTCAGAGAACTTTTATTTTACTGCCAGCAGAAGTATGACCTTATTTTATGTTTCAGAATGCATGGATTAAAAAAAAAGTGGTATGAATATTGCAGCAAGACCTTGGAAATATCATCCCCTTGGGTCAGAGAGTATAATTCTTTCGTTTGCTCAGTCCTCAGAAAGTGGGAGCCAAAGGATGTCTGCTTTGACAGCTTGGGGTTTTTGTGATGGTGCAGTTGTGGAATTGTCTTTTTAAGTTGGTTATATGCCTGTTTGCCAATAAACAATTGGAAAGAACATGTTTTTCTGTTTTTCTTCTGTCTCACACAACTTTTCTTTGTTCATAAAAAGCACTAGAGAAAACTGATTCCTTTGTAAAAATTAATTTATTTAATGCTTGTTCTTTTGACAATTAACTGAAGACATAGCTTTTTCAGTCTATAACAGTCATTTCTGTGGGGGTGTGTTCTAGGGCATCATTCAGAAGATAGTGGACAGTCACAAGGTAAAGCATGTGGCCTGCTATGGATTCCGCCTCAGTCACCTGCGGTCGGAGGAGGTACACTGGCTCCACGTGGACATGGGTGTCTCCAGTGTGAGGGAGAAGTATGAGCTCGCCCACCCACCAGAGGAGTGGAAGTAAGATTCTGACCCCCATGGAGTGACCACACTGCGTTTGTTCTATGTATTAAATATGCACACGAGGATAAGTGTGTACACTTGATTCACACATGTCTGTCACTTCATAGTAATTGTTTCTTCATACTTGGGTTCAGTCTCCCTTTTAGGCACTATAGACTTTTCCATCCCTTAAGTCTTCGGATTTCCTTCACTTTTCATGGTCTTTTGCTAGTAATGTTGTCTCAGTGGAACTCAAATCCTGACTCCTGTTGCTTTGCTCGAGGAGCCAACAAGTTAATTTATTAATCAATCTACTCATTACCTCATCAGTAGGCTACACAACTTTCTTTTTGTGTCTTGAAATCTACTGCTCTTCTAAAAAGGATGGTTGTATGTATGACATTCATATTACAATTAATTCTAAGCCGGGAATTGGTGGCTCATGCCTATAATCCTAGCTACTCAGGGTCTAAGGATTGTGGTTCAAAGCCAGCCTGGGCAGGAAAGTCTGAGACTCTCATCTCTCCAATCAACAACCAGAAAACTGGAAGTGTCGCTGTGGCTCACTTGAGTGCTAACCTTGAGCTGAAGAGCTGAGGGACAGCACCCAGCCCCAGAGTTCAAGCCCCACGACCAACCAAAAAAAGAAATTCTCTCCCTCTCTCTCCCTTTTCCCCCTCCTCTTTCTTTGTCAGTACTTGGGTGAAAACTCAGGTTCTCATAAGAGCTAGTAATAGGCACTCTTTCCTCCTCATTTTGGCTCATTATTTTTGAGACAGAGACTTCTTTCCCACCTAGGCACATAACTAGGTTCAACCCAACTATGTTAAGCTTTCTAGTATCTAGTATAAAAGGCACATCACCACGTCCAGTAATTTGCAAAAAGGTCTCAAGACTTGTCTAGGCTGGCCTGGAACTTTGATCCCAACAGCCTGAGCCTCCCAAATAGCTAGAATGACAGGCATGAGACAGTAGCTCCCTGAATGACTCTTAGTTGACACATTAATGAAACCGAAATTAATTCAAGGTGAATTAAATGAATTCCCTATAATTGTCCTTTTCGTGGTTCTTCCCTAATAATTTTTTCACTATTAAGAAAACTAGCCTCAGGACCAGCACCCTCCCCCCCACCAAAAAAAAATAGAAAAAAAGATGGCAGATATTTTTGTTTAACATTGTTCTGTTATGTTCTTTATTTACAAACATGTCAAAGGAACACTTCATTCTAAAGGTATACTTTGTGTTTAATAAAATATTGAGTGACTCAATCTTTGAGCTTAATAACTTTTTTGAAGCACATTTAGTTTTTAACTCATGCTCTCACAAGTGGCAAAAGAAGAAAGTCTTATGCTGCTGAATGGTTATAGAACAAGACAGAATGTTTAGATCCCAATGAAAAATTCAGACTTTCAATAGTAATAGGAAATTGAAATTCACAGTAAAATGGTGGATTACTATATTCAAAGTGGTAAAGTACCATAGAAGCAAATTAAGTGGAAAAATTAAGAGGAGCCTGTACTTCAGCATTTAAGTTATTGTTCAAGAATCAGGTGATGTAGAGGTGGTTTCCTTAAATTTTAGAACCAATGTAGAAACAAATATCTCAGTAGGAAGAAAAGTCTTTGAAGGTTTCAGATTGAGAACAAAAAACTTGACTAAATTTAAACATACCGTAACTCCATAAAATAATGTAATGACAACTAACTTTAGATTGGAAGAAGTCTAGCATAATGTAGAAGTAGGAAGGAAACAAATTGTCTCAGCAAATAATAACCAAGGAGAAAAAAAACAGTTCCAGTCTTGTCTGTTGGTATCCAGTTAAGAAGGTGGTGGGTAGAGAGGTGAAGTGGTGGGATGTGTATGAGACTCAGTTCCGATGGTGCTCTGTGGTATCCAGTTAAGAAGGTGGTGGGTGGAGAGTAGTGAAATGTTGGGATGTGTATGAGACCCTTCAAACTGGAGTATTTGCTTAAATGTGTAAATTGTTTCTGTTCAGAAACTTGAAGTAGCTCTTAGCACATAGGGCAAAGCTCCAAAGGTTCTGACTCCCTGTAGCGCTGCAGTCCTGTCTCCTACGGTTTGTTCTTCCTTATTGTAGTGACTTTGGTGCCTTTGGACTTTGCATCAACTCTATAATGTAGTTTAGGATTGTTTCCATAAATGCTCACATTGCCATTTGAGTAGGTAGTTTCTTCTCGTGTTAGCCATGTTAACTGGTGAAAAGAATAGCTTCCTCAGGCTTTCTCGATCTCACTACCACCTTTGCCTTTACCTTTTACAACTTCTTACTTATTGACTCCTGTCTCTGGCTCTCTAATTCATTGGCTTTTTGTACAAGTCATTATGTTGACCTTTGGTGTGACCTTGGATGCGCTCTTCTCCTTGCTAGACTACTTGGGACTTCCAAGAGCAAGGACTCAACTATTGCCTTTTCCCATAGCCTTTATAATTGTTCCACTTTCTCCCTCATAGACTTTTTCTTACCCATCACTATTCCTGCTATAAAATACATATTCAGAAAAAGTACTTTAATGAAATGCAATAAATTACTATACTGAGAATGTAACTTAAAGATAAGCCAAGAGCAAAAATATAATGCTGTAGAACCTTATATTCATGTAGTAATTAAGCACTGTTAACATAATGAAAATGAACTAGCTCGTTTTTAATTTATTCACAATTTCTGGAAGTGGCGCTGTGGCTCAAGTGGTAGAGCGATAGCCTTGAGCCAAAGAGCTGAGGGACAGTGCTCAGGCCTAGAGTTCAAGCCCCACGACCGACAAAACAAACAAACAGATTTATTCACAATTTCTGATAAGTGTATTTGACCTATGAGAAGACCTAAGGAAACAGGAGCATTAACTGGCACTGTTGTACTCTCAGCTGGATCCTGGGCCAGGAGAGGGGCAGGTAAGGGGTAGCTGTGAGATGTGAAGGCCTGATTAATAGACCAAGTACTTGCATCAATGTCAGTGTTCTGGCTCTATCTCACAGCTGTATTATGTTCATGTAAGTCTAAAATTTACAGAAGCTGAGTGAAGTGTATATAGGGCTTCTACAGTATATTGTAAATGCTTCTAAGATTACTGCCCCCCTCCAATTGGGGGTTCCAATTGTATGTGTGCATTTAACAATAACAACAAAATCTTATAGATTACTGATTTGTTTACTTGCACCACAGGGAGAAAAACTTTATGATACTGATTGAGGTGATTTTTATTTGTGCCTTAGTGTTTAACTGATGTTTTCATCCTTTTTGAAATGAAAATACATTCTATTAATATGAAGAGATAGTATGTTTATGCATTTTTAAGCTGTCTATTTCACTGTTTGAAGGTTATGTTGTTTGCTTGAAATGTATACAATTATAATTTTTAACTTTTTCTGGTGTTCTCTTCCTATTCTTTGAGTTCAGGTTGTGTGAACTACATAAAAGCTCGTGATCATGTACTTACTCATGCATTTCTTGTTACTAGTACCTAATTCTTATATGCCTCTTGGCCGTAATCTGTTGTCTCTGAATTGGTGAATTGTAGCCCACTTGATTAGAGGTGTACCCATTTCCCAAATTTTGTCTCCAGAGGAAGCCACTGTCCTAATTTTTGACATAATTTCTTCGCTTTTCTAAGGAAACATTCTACTTATGTTTTGTCCCACTCTGAAATCATGGCCATTTATTGTTTGAATCCCGGAGAAATGGTTTTATTGGACTCTTAATAGAAAGCCATGTAGATCATTGACAATCTCCTCAATCAGAACACACTATTAATAACATAGGAAGCTTTTGGAAGCATGAACAGCTGGCCAACTCAGATGGAAATCGGTGGGCACCAGTGTAGAACCATAGTTAGATTGAACTGCTCAGGACTAGTCTGTATTTGGAAGCTTGTTTTATGGCATGTGTTCTTTCTTGTTGAAATAGAGAAGGAGCTGAACTAAGAAGGAGCCTTCTTGGGTGACCTGGAGGTACATGACCATTGAGCACATTATCAGCTGATCCATGAAATATGGTGGGGAATTCGTTTCCATTGAGTCAGTGGCTGTGCAACTTAATGTCCAAGCAGATTTAAAACTGACTTTTTTGGGAATCTGTAACTAAGGCTATAGAGTAGTCTTGTTGTATGAGAGTTTAAGGAAATACAATACCCAAAAGCCCAACCCTGCTGCTCACACCTTTAATCCTAGCAGTACTCATAAGGCTGAGATCTGAGGATCGTGGTTCAAAGCCAGCCTGGCCAGGAAAAATCTCTAAGACTTATCTCCAATTAACTACCAGAAAACTGGAAGTGGTGCTATGGCTCTAAGTGGCTATAGTGCTTACCTTGAGCAAAAGAGCTCAGGGACAAGGTCCAGGCTCTGAGTTCAAGCCCTACAACCAACCGGGAGAAAAACAACCACAACAACAAAACCTCAGAAGCCTTATATACCTTTCACTCAACTTCTGTAAATTTTAAAGATTTTTGTGAACTTAGTAGAGCTGTTAGAGCCAGAACACTGACACTCATGCAAGTACTTGGTCTGCTATGCAGCCCTCACAACTCACAGCTGCCCCTTACCTGCCCTTTTCCTGGCCCAGGATCCAGCTGAGAGTAAAACGGTGTCAGTTAACTCTCCTGTTTCCTTAGGTCTTCTCTAATCTGGGACAGTTCTTTAGTCTGCCTATCAGTCATGAATTTGATACTTCTGAACTATACTGACTTTTGTATTCCTCAAATAGTTTGGCTGGTTTGTTTATTTTTCATGATTAAGGTTATGGATTTTGACAAAATTTCCACAATTGAGGTAGTATCTCATACCAATAAGGCTGTGAGGACAGTGACTTCATTTACAGGTGATTCTAATTTGAATCACTTGATTGTAGTGGTGGTGGTGGTAGACAGGTTTCTCCACTGTGAAATCACTGTTTCCCTTTTATAATTAAGTAGTTTCTTGATTGAGAGACTGTGCAGATTTCCTGGTTCTCATTATCATCCATTAATCTTTGCATTCATGGATGACTCTGTTCTTACATTGATTTGTTTTAATTTGTCCTAAGCAATGCATTTCTATTTCCATCCTTCTCAGCTTTTTAGAATTGTAGGTCTTTGTTCACATACCATCATTCTTAAGGGCTTTCTGTGTTGTTTTGTGAACTTGGACTTTATTTATGACTGAGAAATTTTTTGGGGGGGGGTCTGGTCGTAGGGCCTGAACTCTGGGCCTGAGCGCTGTCCCTCAGCTCTTCAGCTCAAGGCTAGCGCTCTACCACTTGAGCCACAGCGCCACTTCCGGCTTTTTTCTTTTTGCTTAAGTGGTGCTGAGGAATTGAACCCAGGGTCTCAGGTATGAAAGGCAAGCACTTTACCACTGAGCCACCTTCCCAGCCCCCTTGGACTTTATTTATTATATAAACTGGCAGCTGATCCATCTGAGAACCATGGTTATTAGGTTTTCAACTCCCCATAGCTTTCTTTTCTATCCCCCCCTTTTTTTTTTGAGGAGAAAGTGAGGGGCAGTATTAGGGTATAAGCTCAGGGCCTTGCATGTGCTAGACAAGTGTTCTAACACTTGGAACATACAACCAGCCCTTCTTACTCTAGTTATTTTCCACACTGGGCCTTGTGTTTTGTTGTTGGAATGACCTTTCTGTTGATGAGAGTGGAGAATTCAAATCTCCCACTATTAGTATGCCAGGGTCTCTCAGTGCTTCCATAAATAAGTCCAGAAATGTTTGTTTAATGAAACTGGGTGCACCAGTGTTTGGTCATTATACTAATTGTAATTTCCTTTTCATGAATTACTCCTTTTAATTAAAGTATATCTTTCTTTGTCTCTTCTGGCTGATTTTAGCTTGAAGTCTATTTTTATCAAATGTAAAGACTTCTGCCTTCTTTTGGGATCCATTTGCTTGGAAAATATTTCTGTCCTTTCACTCTGTCTTTGTCAGTCAGTCACTCAGCGTGTGTGTGTGTGTGTGTGTGTGTGTGTGTCTTGAATTCTGTGTCTGGGCACTGTCCCTTACCTCTTCAGTTCAAGGCTAGCGCTGTACCACTTACCTCTTCAGTTCAAGGCTAGCGCTGTACCACTTGAGCCACAGAGCCACTTCTGGTTTTATAAGTGATTTACCTGAGATAAGAGTCTCACAGACTTTCCTTCCCAGGCTGGCTTTGAACTTTGATCCTCAGATTTCAGCCTCCTGAGTGGCTAGGATTACAGGTGTAAGCCACCGACGCCAGGTGGATATGTGTTTCTTGTAGGCAACAAGTGGTTAGATTTTTCTCTTTTTCCTGTACTAGGGATTGAACTCAGGACCTTAATTAAGCTTGTTAGGCAACACTCTTACCATTGAACTATGCCTCTTGTAATCCAAGTTGTTGCTCTATATATTTTGATTGGAGAATTAAGAAATTAACCTTTCTATGTTAATATTGAAAGGTATGTTGTATTTTCTGTCTTTTTTAAAAAAAGATATGTCTGTGAGATATTCTTTCCTATTCATACTTTACTAATCTCAGGTAGTAGGATTTATTTTTTCCTGCTTTTGATTTTCTTCTTTTTTGGGTAGCATTCCGTGTGTACTGGGACTGGGGCTTATTGTCAGGGTCTGGACAGTGTCACTTTTTTTTTTTTTTTTGCTCAAGGGTGACACTCTATCACTTGAGCCACATCTCTACTTCTGGCTCTCACTTGCAGTCCTCAGATCTCAGCCTCCTGAGTAGCTAGGATTATAGACTTGAGCCACTGGTACCCAGCTGGTGAGATTCTTTTAGCCATTGGTAATCATGGAAGTTTTTTATTTCAAACCCACCCCCCTTTTTTTTATGCTGGTACTGGGGCTTAAACTCAGAACCTGGGTGCTGTCCCTTACCCTTTTTACTCAAGGCTGGCACTCTACCACAGCTCCACTTTTGGCTTTTGGGTGGTTAATTGAAGATAAGAGTTGGACTTTCTTGCTCAGGGTGGCTTTGAACCTCCATCTTCACTCAAGTGGTTGAATGCTTGCCTATTGTGTGCTTACCTAGGTTCAATTCTCAGTAGTGCAAAGAATAAATGGCAGGAGGGAGGGAGGGAAGGAAAGAGGGATAAAGGAAGGAAGGTAGGTAGGTAGGTAGGCAGGCAGGCGAGAAATAGAGAGAGAGAGAGAGAGAGAGAGAGAGAGAACATTCACTATGTCTAACAGAGGTCTCACATCCAGAGTCTACTAAACATCTTCACATTAGCGGTTGGTTAGAAGAAAGGCAGAAAATCCAGCTGGAGAGATGACAGCTTGAGTTGTCATAATAGAAGGTCCAATGAACATATCTTCATATGAGTGCTAGTTCAAACACTCAGTTTATTAGTTGTACAGGAAATGTTAATTAAAATCCCATGAATAATTACTATGCCCTTTAGAGAGAGCTCACCTGCAGGTGCCGGTAGACCATGAGGACATAGAAGACCTCAAGCTGCTGGTGAGTTACCTACCCTGTTACCTGCCCATCCCTTTTGGCATACATGGTAGTAACTACTCCCACTCATATCTGTACTCATTATGACTCAGACTGTGCTTGGGTACATGTGTTACCAGAAGACACAGTAGAGTATTTATATAAGCATACTCACACATATACATACACACATACATACACATAGAAACATAACAAGAACCACACAGAGTGCATTCAAAGAAAGTTGAAAAAATGTCCATAGTACCATTAGTCATATAGCCAAAAAGTTGAATGTGGCCAGTGACAGTACAGAGGATAAATAATTATACAGGGCTATGCAATTCAGCATAGATCAAAACACAGCTATTAGCATATTGTGGAATGAAAGACAGCAGGCAGCATGGACACATGGTGCATGGTATTCCAGTTCCCTTATCTAAATTAGATACAGGAATACTTCTAGAAAGGGTAGGAGGGTGGACAGTGGGGAGCATAATCCACAGGCTATAGGCCTTGTGTTCTCCTCATGCTCTGTTTCCTCACATACCTCTGACAGGTATACTTGTTTTGTCTTGAAAAAGAATCTTAGTTTAAAAAATAATTGATTACACTTGATCTTATTTTTAAATTCATATTTCAGAGTCATTGACAGTAATAGTATAGTTTAGACCATAAATTGAGAAAATTGGTTTTTTCTAATTATTCTTATTTTGTGAATTTCTTTTTAGGTATGAATTAAGAATTCGTTATTTGCCAAAAGGATTTCTAAACCAGTTTACTGAAGACAAACCAACTCTGAATTTCTTCTACCAACAGGTATAAGAGAATAATATACTTCATTTTGTTTCTTTGACTCTTAATAGGTTTCATTTTTATCTAGACATAGAGTAAACCTAACATTTGAGAGAGTATCAATTCTTCAGTGTATGACAATGAGAATCTTTTACTCAAATAAATATTGTATGTGCTCTGAGAAATCTTCACTTGGAGACAGCGAACCCGTTTATATTGTTCTACAATTCAAGAGTCATTTTGCCTATCAATAAATTTCATATATAAAAATTGTTACAGTGAACTTTACCCATCTTGATTAGTTTGCATAATTTAATTAAGTAATAATACAGTTTTTTACACCAGCTAGCTTGTTTTTTATACCTTAGGCAATAAATATATATGACTTAGATGTACTAACACAATATTACAACCAAGTAAATGTTACTGCTTAATAATACTGAAGACTGTGTCTCCAAAGGCTACTAAATATCAAAGCATTCATACAATTTTGTTGTTTAGTATACTTTTTTTTTCTTAATGGACATATAAAAATGTCTGTTTTGGGTCAGGAATGCTGAAACTAATTTATTCTTTTTTTAAAAATTTTATTTTTTTATTGTGAAAATACTGTACAGAGGGGTTACAATTACATGGGCAAGATAATGAGTACATTTTTTATCAACATTGTAGCCTCCTTCTTTGTTTCCCCTTCCCAACCCTTTCCATCTTCCCTCTGCCCCCCCAATCCTCCCCGCCCCCCAAAACTAATTTACTCTTTATTATTATTAATTTCCTCTATTTGCTTTACTTATTTATCTCCTCTTTTTTTTTAATAATCTTGTTTTTATTATTTATTTATTTATTTTTTTGGTCTGGTCGTGGCATCTGAACTCTGGGCTCTGGGCCTGGGCGCTGTCCCTCAGCTCTTCAGCTCATGGTTAGTGCTCTACCACTTGAGCCACAGCGCCACCTCTAGCTTTTTTCTTTTTGCTTATGTGGTGCTGAGGAATCGAACCCAGGGCCTCAGGCATGCAAGGCGAGCACTCTACCACTGAGCCATTTTCCCAGCACCTTATTTATCTCCTCTTATTTGTTCCTTTTATCTTCTAGAAAAATCTTGGAAACAATTAGCTTGTGTTGCTTGTAAGTGTGAACTATAGGACTATATGTAGAAAGGTTGTCATCTTAGTGTAAGTGTGTGCAGTGGGAATGGCGCCCAGGAATATGTCATTGAGGAAAGAGTTCACCTTCAGATTAGGAAAAGTTAAACTTTCTCTATAGGAAGGGGAGGGGAGAGAAAAAAAATATTTCTGTTTAAGTCTAAGCTAAAGTATGTGAATAAAAATCAGGTCATAGGGAGTACATCCTGCAAATGGAAGAGCTTAGGGTTGTTCATATAGGTTATTTGAAGCATGTACTTAGTGAATGCCTTGATTAGATTTGTGTGTGTGTGTGTGTGTGTGTGTGTGTGTGTGTGTGTGCGCGCACATCAGACTTGGGTCTCGAACTCGGGGCCTAGGTGCTGTTCCTGAGCTTTTGTGCTTGAGGTTAGCACTCTACCACTTGAGCAATAGCTCTCCTTCTGGCTTTTTTTTGGTGGTTATTTGCAGATAAGAGTCTCTTGGACCTTCATGTCTGGCCTGGTTTCAAACCACAGTACTCAAATCTCAGCCTCCTGAATAGAGAATTTTCAGTTTTTAAGTGAGATCACCCTGATTGGATGTCAGTGTGGAAATGGAATAGATTTGTAAAGATGCAAGCATGTTAGGGGAGATCTTTACCGAGTCCAAAAAGAAATAAGAAAGTTTAAGAGTATAGTAATAATCTAATGTGGTGGATGAATTTGACAGTATCCTGAGACAACTAAAATGAATTAGAAAAATAAGAAACATAGGTATAAGACTGGACATCTAGTACCAGGAAGGTATAGTGGTGGATTAGATTCAGGAGAGTGAGAGGAGAAGGTAAAAGTCTCTTTCCTCCCTGTGTGAGATAATACAGAGCTCACAAGAGTCACAGTGAGAAGGCAGGCAGCTACGTAAGTCTCTACCAGTTGGAATTGGGGTAAGGTAGAGTCATGCAGAAAATGTCAGGTGTGGGCTGGGAAGGTGGCTTAGTGGTAGAGTGCTTGCCTTGCATGGGTTCGATTCCTCAGCACCACATAAGCAGAAAAAGCCAGAAGTGGCGCTGTGGCTCAAGTGGTAGAGCACTAGCCCTGAGCTGAAGAGCTGAGGGACAGCATCCAGGCCCAGAGTTCAGGCCCCACGGCTGACAAAACAAAAAAAAGAAAAAAGAAAATGTCAGGTGTCAGGGAAGTAACTTGTAGATAGTTTGAAGATTTACAGGAATACTGACTTGAATCAGAGAGAAGTTAATTATGGTTGAGTAGACAGAGAGGGCATGTTTGGATTCCAGCTAAGATTGTTGTTGACCTACTCATAAGTTGATGACCTACCCAGCTTACAAATGGCTCTTGTGTACCTCACTCTGTTGCACTTACTAGCTGTCTGATGAATTGAACATTTTGGTGCCAATGTTGAGAAGAGAGTTTAACTGGCATGTTTTTATAGCTTATGTGTGTGTCATCTGAAATGCTGGGGCTAGAGGTCTTTCTGATCAGAATCATGTTGCTGTTGGGGTATTTGCATATAATTAGATGTTCTGAGAATGTCTTGAAGTGTATACATGAGATCATTTGTGCTTCACATGCTCCTTTTTTTGGGAGGGGGGGCGGGGAGTCCAGTAGTGGGGCCTGAACTCTGGGCCTGGGCGCTGTCCCTCAGCTCTTCAGCTCAAGGCTAGTGCTCTACCACTGAGCCACAGCGCCACTTCCCGCTTTTTTTTTTTTCCTGCTTATGTGGTGCTGAGGAATTGAACCCAGGGCCTCAGGCATGCAAGGCAAGCGCTCTACCACTGAGCCACCTTCCCAGTCCCTCACATACTCCTTATACACATATATATTAAAATGATTTTGGGCATGAAACAAAGTTCCATGGTGTGAAATTCTTTATTTGCACCATCTTGTCAAAACTCAAAACTCAAAAGTTATGGGATTGGGAGCATTTTGAATTTTAGTTTCAAATTAGAGTACTTGACTTACATGGCTTTTTTTTTTTCCTGCTAGATGATAAACTTTGATATTGGCATAGTTTCTCTGAGAAACAAATTTACCTACTAAGGAAATATATGGTTACTTTGATGGCATTGATTTCCTGAATACATGATACAGGCCTAAATAGCTCATAGTTTCTCCTTTTATACTTTCTGGGCTGACCTAAAAAATCAACAACTTTTCTGTTCCTTTTACCTTTACCACCCTCTTCCTAGCTTGTCCTAGTTTTTACTTTTTGAAAAACTGTATGGTCAGCAGTACGACTGTGAATGCCAGTGAGTCCAAAAGATCTTCTTTCCTAAGAGGACATGTTTCACTGTAGTGTGGAATCAAGTTGAATAGTCCTTATAAAACGCTAAGTATAGGGGCTGGGAAGGTGGCTCAGTGGTAGACTGCTTGCCTTGCATGTATGAGGCTCTGGGTTTGATTCCTTAGCACCACATAAGCTGGAAGTGGCACCGTAGCTCAAGTAGTAGAACACTAGCCTTGAGCTGAAGAGCTGAGGGACAGCACCCAGGCCTAGAATTCAGGCCCCAGGGGCTGGGATGTAGCTCAGTGGCAAAGTGCTTGCCTAGCAAGTGCAATGTCCTGGGTTCGATCCCCAGTACCAAAAAAGAAAAAAGACCAAAAAAAAAAAAAAAGAATTCAGGCCCCAGGACCGACCAAATCAACAACAACAAAAAACAACGCTAAGTATAATGTTCAGTGAATACTGTTGTGCATTTTGCAGCTATGTGGGCTGAGGTCCTTTTCTGAGCCTCTTGCTTATTGTCCCATTTCTTACCATAGGGATTATTAATGTTGATTAAATGAGAAAAACCTGCCTGTCAAGTAATTTCCTAATCATTCTTTAAATCTGGCTGTGCAGGCAATAGCAGGCTGCCTAGCATTGAGAATTCATTATTTGTAATCAAGATGCAGGCTTTGTTTGGTTCATGCCCTGTTCTCTCCTCCCTGTGCTGTCTACGACCCTTGAAGTCTTCCTTACCACCTTTTGCTGTCATCCATTCCTACTCTGTTTTGGGGGTCTTTTTTGGTCGGTCATGGGGCTTGAACTCTGGGCCTGGGCGCTATCCCTTAGGTCTTCAGCTCAAGGCTAGCCCTTTACCACTTGAGCCACAGCGCCACTTCCAGTTTTCTAGTTAGTGGTTTATTGGAGAGAAGGGTCTCACAGACTTTCCTGCCCAGGCTGGCTTTGAACGGTGATCCTCAGATCTCAGCCTCCTGAGTAGCTAGGATTATAGGTGTGAGCCACTGGCGCCCGGCTAAAACGTACCATTCCCTTTTTTTGTTTGTTTTGGGTTTGTTGTTGTTGTTTTGTCGGCAGTGGGGCTTGAACTCTGGGCCTGGGCACTCTCCCTCAGCTCTTCAGCTCAAGGCAAGCGCTCTACCACTTGAACCACAGCACCACTCTACTTCTCTGTTTTCATCTTGTCTTCTTTTTCATTTTTAAAGTTTGTTTATTCATGTGGCATATGTTTGTAAAGTACAGAAAATACTCCAAAGCATCTCATCTCTGTTATACTATTTGTTATATGTGCTTTTACAGTAGTTTCCCAAGTACACACTTTGTTTTTGGGTGCTGGTCCTGGGGATTGAACTCAGGGCATGGGTGATATCCTTGAGATTTTTTTGCTTAGAACTAGCACTTAACCACCTGAGCCACAAGTCTACTTCCTGGTTTTTTGGTCATTAATTGGAGATAATTTGATAATTAATTGGACTTTCCTGCCCAAGCTGGCTTTGAACTGTGAACCTCAGATCTCTGCCTCCTGGGTAGCTAGGATTGCAGGTATGAGGCCAGTTCCTGGCTTCCACTTATACACATTTTGCAGGAATACAGCTGCAGCTAAGTCATGCCCTATTCCCATGATAATTACCTGGTTTACATGACAATAAACAGGGAGAGCTAGGTGATACTTGTAGCCAC